ATCTTGTAATGTGGCAATCACTGCCAAACCAGTCCCCGGGAGGGAACTCCCGCGGGGGCGAGGGGCGACGTGGGGCCTCTGCATCCGCCTGCGAGTGTGTGTGTGTGTGTATGTTTTGGAGCTGGGGCGGGCGGTTTGCCCAGCAGATACCTCTTGGGGAGCGAAAGAACAACTTGGGGAGGGGGGATTCCCTGGGGCTGCATTGGGTGTCCTAATACGTTGAGATGTCTGACTAGGTAGCTTCCTTCCCCACGCCAAGGGCATCCCCCCCTCCCTCAACCGCTTACCGGACTCCGGACCCCAAGCTCTAATTAAAAGGGACTTGTCTGTGGCTTTATTCTCAAAGGACTTTCTGACCCTAAACAGATTCAAGCCACTGGTGGTCGCTGTTCCCCGGAGGGAGAGGAGCCGATTTGTGAATAGTGAGAGAGTGCTGGCAGTGGGGGAGTTTGCCCGCGTTTTGGAAGGGGAAGACGGACCTTTTGGATGGCCAGGCTGCCGGACACGTGGCTGGGAGCCGGTGGGCTCCAAACCGCGGAGGAAGCCTCCCACGCGACTCAAGTGTTTGTAAACAAAGCTGCACTCTCTCCATGCGCTCTCCGCGCCGACAAACCTGATACTTCCCCAAATTCGCCCCCACCAGTCTCGGAAATCCTTACACAGGACGGATATTCACAATTTTCACCAGTGATCCTGAAAGAAGGCCGAGGGGAAGCCTCCTAAATGGTCCCATATTGCACACAGCAAGGGCTGATTAGGCCCGGGATCTGTTCCCTCTCTTTAGTGGCCTGCCTAGCCCAGCAGCCACAGTCCAGGCGGCAGGAATTCAGGGCAGCAGCCGGAGGGGGCGGCGGAAGGGGGGGATCTAAGCCCAGCACCGCCCTGGGCCAGGTGCGCAGTGGCTGGAGAGCCCCTCGCGCAGGGGTGCAGGAAGGGGGCTGTTGGCGTGCATGGGATGCCGGGGGGGGGGGTGTGCCTGGGAGGTGGCGAAGGGAGCCAGAGCACCCTAACGACTCGGTCACCGGCCTGGGAGCTGGGAGTCCTCTCTCAGGGCCTGTGCGGGGGACAGCCTCGCCAGAAGGTGGAGCGGAGGGAGCCGGCACCCTTCACTCGCCGGCTTCCCTCCCCCTGCTTCCAGGCGCTTGTCACATCCTGTCTCCAACCTGATATTTTACGCGAGCAAATGGAAGGGAATTACAATGAAGATTTATTTGTGTTCAGATAGCGGCTGGTTTCCCAGTGTAGGGAGCCTAGATCGCGTCTTCCCATTTCCATTTTTCATTCGCGCTTTGGGGAGCGCAGTGGGGCGCATGGGGTAGGGGGGTGGGCTGGGGGAAGCGTGTCTGCGCGGCGGCGGGAGGATCACAGGGCTCCCGGCGGGCGGGGAGACTACGAGAAAGGCTGCAAGTGCGTCGCCCCCGCGGGGCTGGAGCCGGCCCCCGCCTCCGCGAACCCGCGCGCGCTTTGTTCCTGAGTTCGTTCCCTCGTTCCCCCGGCCCGTCCCTCCCCCTCCCCACCCCCTCGCTAGGGCGATCCCAGCTCTTGGCCCTTTTCCGCGTCTGAGGAGGAGACGCCCCCTTCCCCGGGCCCCTTGCACCCTCCTTGCCCTCGGCTTTGCGGCATCCCCGAGGGAAGGAGCCGCCGTGGCCCGGCCCGACCTCGCCGCCGCCGGGTGCCAGGTTCGGTGACTCCGTCCAGTCTGTGGGGCCTCGGCCCACCCCGGAGCTGGGGCCGCCCGCCCTCCTGGCTCCCAGGCTCGGCTCATGCCAAGGCCTGTTGCGTGATTCCAACTTGGGCTGACATTCCCTGCCCCGGGCGCTCCGGCGTAGGCCTCTTAATCATCTTGTTTGCTGCAGATCCTCGACACCAGCCAATTTACTGCCCTGTCTCTCCCCACTGGTTTCGGCAAGGAGGAGGGGCGTGCGCGCCAAGGAGGGGAGGGCACAGGGAACCGCAGGAGGGGCAGTAAAGGGGAGACTGGGCACCAGCTTTTGGCACTCTAGAAAGAAAAAAAAAAACAAGGAATTTGGAGGTGGGGTGTGAGTGGGGGTACCTAGTGGGAAGCTGCCAGGTTGCTTAGGGTAGCTCTGAATTATGGGGGGGAGGGAGGGAGGGGGGCCAACCGATTGCAGTCCCGGGCCTTGCCAGCCAGGGAAAACAATGAAGCAATTCGAAGGGTCCCTGGACTGTGCAGTCCTAATGTCCTGGATTCCATTCTGTCCCCAAAGCTGATAAGGTCTCACAGCCCATCCCCAATCAGAAAGGTTGATGCTGGAAACCAGAAAGACCTCCACCTCTGTCTGTTTTTGGTAGAGCACAAGTGCACGGCCTAAATAAGCCTCCCCAAGGGAGAGGCCGCCCAGCCAGCGGGGTTCTCTGCCCTATGGCCACTTGCCCTACACCCCCTGCGGCAGAAATGGGTCCCTGTTTAGAAGCACTGCCTGAGCTTCTAGCTTGGTGCAGGAGGGCCAGAAAGAGAACTGTCAAGAGCAACTGTGCTCCGCTGCTCTTTCCAAATCGCAGGCAGAAAGTAAAACTGTCATTTGAGGGCAGTGACAGAACAGTCCTGCTAAGCAGTTAAATGTGCTAAGTCCTGGTCAGGGACCAGGTGCTGAGTCTCCTGCCCTCCTTGTTGCTTTCAACCCTGAGCCACTGCTACCAGTACTTCTGCCCAAGGTCACCCAGTGACCCCCGAGCCAGGAACAGCCTGAGTTTCGGCCCCAGTGTTTTCAGGGAAAAGGACTTTTGATGCATGCCTACACTGCCATCTCCTAACCGTTGGTCTATGGAGGAGATGGCAGAGAATTCACTTCCCAAGCAAGACACCTGCTCTGTGGACTGAAAGTGGGAGCATAGAGTGAGGTGAGGTGTGGCCCTTTCTGACTAGGAGAGTGTTTGCCAGGAAACTCTCCCGCGGAAGTGTGCATCAGGGTCTGTATGTGTGCCTGAGTTCCTGTCTCAAGAGTGTGCAGGTGTGCATTATTTGTGTCACTCCTGTGCGTGTGCACAAGTTTCTATAGCCTGAATGTGCAGGTGTGCATGGTTTCCTACCAGGGTTATGTGTGTCCAAGTTCCTGCATTGTGAGTGTGCAGGTTCCATGGATTTGTCAGTGTCGTGTGCCTGTGCACAGAAGTTCCTGCTTGAGCATGCAAGTATGCATGGATTTCTGTCCCAGTGTCCTGTGCATAGGATGCTAGCTGTGTGTGCAGTTATTCAGTGCAGGTGTCTGGGAGCGTGTGTGTGGCTGTGAACGTGCACGTCAATGTTGCGGGGAGGCTGAGAGATGCGGTAGAGGTGACGGGAGATCTTGTGGCAGCGTGTGTGCTGGCTCAGTCCCAAGCGCCAGGGTCACCCGGCATTCCAAGGCAGCTAACCGTACCTCCGCAGGGTGACTCAGTGTTTTGGCTCAACCAGTTCCCAAGGGGCCGCAAGGCAAACCGGTTGGTGTGGGGAGGGCGGGAGAGACAGAGAAAGGTGGTTCCAACGTAGGACTGACCCCAGGCTGCCTCCGGCCAGGGCCGGTCAGCCGGGGCGCAGGCCCGGACAACAGTTGCCCCGCGGCAGCTCCGCTGCACTGCCCGGATAGCTCGGCTGGCGCGGGGGCGGCCAAGACCGCCCAGGCGCGGGGCGGTGGCGCCGGCGCCAAAGGGCCGGCGGGCGGAGGCTGAAGCCGCCGGTCGCCGGGTGAGTCACCATGCCGCGGGCTGCCGGAGCGGGAGCAGGGCGCGGGGCCAGCCTCGGAAAGCCGCACTGGGTCGCAATCGGTTGAGCCAGTGCCGGCTGGTCCCCGGCCTGGGCCGCGCGCGCGGCAGGAGTTCGGCCGAGCGGCCCACTGAACCCTGGGAGTAAGGACAAAGCGCGCGCATCCAATGAAAACAATAATTTATTTAAATAATCTCTTCATATTGTAAAATCAACATTAAGAGCATGTTGTTTTCATAATAAATAACCCCAAAATACCTTGCATTTCAAGAACAAAGACTTTAGGATAAGATAAAACAAATCCAAATCAGTAGCTTAATTTAACTGACAATTTTTTTTTTTTCAAAGTGAAAAATAAAACGGAGGGGTTGCTGAGGTTACCGCTAAACTGCAGTTTCCACAACTGGGGGTTTACAAAAACGTCTGAAAAGAGGATTTTTATACAAATAAGTCAGTGGGAGAAAAATCTGCACACTTTTATTTACAAACTCTTGTGTCCAAGTCCAGGCTAATAATCCTGAATAGGCTTAAAAAAGATAATTTAAACACTTTTTTTTTTGCAGTGTCCACATAATAAAAAACCATTTTTTTTCCCAACATCAAAATGAGGTCTTCCGCAAAGGCACCTAAACTTTTAAAAAAATAAAAATAAAAAAACTCCACTGGTGATGGATGAGGAAAGAGCTAGAGGGATGTCGCGGGGGTTGGGGGGGCTAAGAGGCCTGGGAACCGTGGGGCGGAAAAGCGGCGGCGGGGCCGCTCGGGTCGCGGGGGCACGTTGCGGAGGGCAGGCTGGGCAGGACCCCCGGAGGTCAGCAGCAGCCGAGGCCGGCGGGAGCGGGCCCGGGGGCGGCCGAGGAGAAAGGAGCCTCAGAGCGCCAGGGAAGCCTGGCGGGGAGGCGGCCCTCTCCGCGTCCCAGCGCAGGGCCCCGGGCGACGGAGGCGCCGGGCGGCCTCGCCCGGGCGGCACGGGGGCGGGGGCGCGGCAAGTTCGAGGCGGGGCTCCCTCCAAACGGCCGAGCCGTGGCTCAGGTCGGTAATGCAGCCGTGGGGGCGGCCTGCGGCACGGCCCGCTTCCCCCCCAGGAGAGCCGGCGCTGCGGGGCTGCGCGGCTTCGCGGAGGAGCAAGGCCGGCCACTGTGGGCCTGGGCCTTACGCAGAGGCGGGCCGGCCGGCTGGCTGTCGGTGGCGAGCCCGTGGGAAGGACCCCAGGCCTGCTTGGGGAGAGGGGAGGCGAACACCGAGGGTCCCTGGCCTCCCCGCCGCCGTCTCAGTCTCTGACGCCGTCTCCTTGGCTTTAGAAGATCGCGCCCGCGCTCACCGGGGCGCCGCCCCCGCCGCTGTGGTGATGATGGTGGTGGTGATGCGGCTGCGGGGTCTGCGCGGGGTGCAGCAGCGGCGCCGCGGCCTGCAGGTGTGACGCGGAGCCCGAGGCCTGGTGGTACCACGGGTAGTTGCCCAGGAAAGCCGAGGCGGCGCTGCTGGGGCTCGAGCCCGAACTGCCCGCGCCGCTGCCGCCGCTGCCCGGGCCGCCGCCGCCCGCCATGCGCTGCGGCCCGCCGAAGTCCCAGGAGGCCGGCGCCGAGAGCGGCGGCGAAGCACAAGGGGGCGAAGCGCTGGCCCCTGGGTGTTGCTCCGAGGGGATCTCCCCGCTCTTCCACATCTTCTTGAACTTGGACCGGCGGTTCTGGAACCAGATTTTGACCTTTGTGGAAACAGGATACGAGCATTGACATGGCTGGAGGCACCTCGGGCCTGGGAGGGCAGGGAAGGGGAGCAGAGACCGCGGGACCCCAGAGGTGGGCTAGAGGCGCGAGCGCTCGGGGCGGGCGAGCCGGTCGCTAGCGGTGGTCTCCGAGCCCTTGCCCCCCTGGGAAGTGATCCCCCCAAGGCCGGTGCCTGTGCCGTGCTCGCGCCACGCGGGGAAGCTGTTGGGAGGGCCAGGGGTTTCTGCCCAGTCCAGCCCTTCTTCCCGCCCAAGCGGGCTCCCTTGTTTTGGGGCCTGCAAGCTTAGGACGCCTCGGCCCCGGTCTGAAAGTCCCTCCAAAGCACTTGAAACACACTGTGACAAATACTGCAGGGAGGCGGCCTGTTGCTCCCCACCGGGCCAGGGCACCCCTCGCCCCCGCGACCCGCGCCAGACGCACCTGAGTCTGAGTGAGGCCCAGAGACGCCGCCAGCTCGGCTCGCTCGGGCAGCGCCAGGTACTGAGTCTTCTGGAACCGCCGCTGCAGGGCCGCCAGCTGAAAACTGGAGTAGATGGTGCGAGGTTTCCGGACTTTCTTTGGCTTCCCGTTCACTATCCGGATTTCAGGCTCCAGGTCCTCTTTCTCTGCAAGCAAAACGGAAAACCGCGCGACTTTTAACACGCGCGCCTCGGAGGCGGGGAAGGGGAAAGGGCAGGCGCCCAGCCGCGGGAGATCCTGGAGAGGATAGGCAGGTGGCAGGGAAACGCAACTGCCAGGAGGCTTGGCGCAGCGTGTGCCGGCTTGCCCTGCGTGGGTCCCCACCGGCCGTGCGGCCAGGATGAGGGATGGGGGACGCAGATGGGACCCTCGCTGCGGGGTGGACAGCGGGGAGGCAAGAAGGACACGAAGCAGTGTTGAGACCAGGATTTCCGATGCCCCTCCCCAAAGACGTTTACCCCATCTGTCCCAGTGACCAGACCGACTTGGCAAAGCCTGGACGCCAGCGTCACAGCCTACCCGGCTCGTTGTTGGCTGGGGATGAACTGGCTCCGTAGGGCGCGTAGGAGGTGTAGGCGGCAGTGTAGCTCAGGTCGTAGCTGCCCTTAGCCGGGTAAGGGACGTTGTTGAGCCCGCTGGCGTGGTACTGGTAGGAACCCATGTGCGCATAGGGCGAGCTCCCCGCGCCGCCGCCCGCCGGGTGCTGCTGGTTGTTGTAGTAGCTGCTGTCGGTGGCGGTGGACACCGGGAGGGTGGGCGACTCCTGGGGCTTGTGCAGGCCGCTGCCGCCGCCGGGCCCCGCGCCGCCGCCGCTCGGGGGTTGCTGGTGCTGGTGGTAGGTGCTGGAGGCCGCAATCTGGGTCGAGTGCATATCAGCCACCAGACTGTCAAAGACTCCGGTCATCCTGGCCCGGGACGGGGGAAGAGCAGGGGTGGCTGGCTCGCGGGGGGCCGCCAGGCGCCTCCTCCGTCTCTCCCGGTCCCCTCCAGCAGCCAATGTAATTACGGGGGATGGGGGAGGGGAGGGGGTGGTGGAGCGGGAGAGGGAAAACAAGAAATGAGGCAACCGTCTAGGCGCCTCCTCCTCCTCCCGGGCAGGCGGTCAGCGCGCGCGGCTCGGGACGGCTCCAGTTCGCCGCATCCTCCACGCTCGGGCTCTGGGCGCGCGCGGGCGCGCACGCGGGCACGGGGGGCGGGCGGCGCAGGGGGCAGGGCCGGCGGGGCCGGGTCGGGGCTCCGGGAGGCGGGAGCAGGTGAGCGGCCCCGCGCGGCTCTTTACGCTTGTCTGTCGGGCGGGCTCCTGCAGGGTGGGCATTTAACACGCGTCACGTGAGCGCGGGCGACGTCACCTAGCAACGGCCAATCCGGGCCAGCGGGCCGAGGGGCGGCGGGCGCCCGGGAACGCCCGGCCGGGGTGGAGGGGGCCGGCGGCGGGCGCGGGGTGGACTGCGACCCCCGGGGGACCCCGCGGACGAGACCTGGCTCTGCTGCCCGGAGGCACAGGTGGGGTCCCCCAGCGCAGGAGCGGTGGTTGCCGCCGGGTGTCCAGGGTCGCTGTTGACACACCTTGAGCGCGGCCCTTGCGCTGCGCCTCCAGCCGGCACTTGACACCGTGCGTTGATGTAAATGATCCATAAACCTGGGTCTCATCACACCTGCTTCCCAACCAACCCACAGGGATATTATCACAATTAATTAGATAATATTTAAACGTGTGCCCATCGTTGCTTCCAGAGAAAGGCTATATAAACTGAAAGGTATTATTACTAATACTACATGCCAAACCACTTTTCTTTGCGCTTGGCTGACACGCAATTTACGCGTCTTGGGTGGGTGGGTGGACGCCTGGGGGAAGTGGAGGGGATTTCTCTTTGGGGCGCACAGATGGAACCCTCTGACCAGATGGCTTCCAGTGTGCATCCTAATTCTGAAACCGATGCTTTCACCACACAGGGAATGGGATAACACCGAAGGGGGAGCAGTTTTCTCTAGCTAGACGTCAGACTTGCCGCGTCTAGGCAAATTTGCAGCAAATACAGAAAGTTGTATCTCATGCACTTAGTTTGACCTTTTTTATTTTCTTATCCAGCTTTACACATAGGGCCCCATTCCGTCCTGTCACTGTCAGTTTTTTACTCGTCGGCAGTGGAGTGCTGGCGGTTGGGATCTTGGCTAGCCGGTGCTGGACACACCGCCCCATTGGACCCCGGGGTCCGAGGAGGCTGCGGCAGCGCCTGCCGTGTGGCGCCACCTGGCGGGCAGCGCGCAAGGCTGCGGCGGGCTGGGTAGACGGTCTAATCACGCCCAGGCGCCAGCTTCTGAAACCCCCCAAAAGAACAAAATAGTAATTAAAAGCCACAAAATTGTGTTAGTGCGCGCCATCTGAAGCACCCCTTCCTAAAGACATAACATGTCCCTGAAGGAACTTGTTACAACAACTGCCTCGTGGAAAACAAGTTGATACTTTGAAAAATATAATCTTTGGTCTTCTTACCCAGAAAAGAAAAAGCAAGTGTGTAATTAACTCTCCAGCATTCATACCGCGGCAACATGAGGCAGGTAATGCGCCTGCAAGTCTGCCTGGACTTAGTTCACGGCCTCCCTTTGGGTTCAGGAGGGTCCCTATGGGGTCCCTTAAGCCTGGCTGGGCCCTCAGCTGCAATAGACTCCTCTTGCTATCTGGTCCACGTTGCCCGTTGGGGGTCTTGATTTCATATTTCAGTGCTTTCTTCCAGTCACCACTGTGGAAGCTCTTTTCACCCAATGGGGGGGGGGGAGAAATCCCCGCTAAAGTGGAGATTTTAGTGACTCCCACCTGCCAGGGTCCTGTCTGCATGGCTCCTGCTCTGTTGTTTCCGTCGGCATCCTCAAGTCAAGGTTAGCTAAGATCTAGAAAAAAAAAACGGCATGCTTCTGGAAGGAAATGAGCCCCTTTTTATCTGGAAAATACCCCTTCCAGTGTGTGTGTGTGTGTGTGTGTGTGTGTGTGTGTGTGTGTGTGTGTGTCTCAAGACCAGAGGCATTGGGTGAAGGGAGAAGGACGGGAGAGAGGATAGGAAGAAGGCACAAATAGAGCTTGAAGTCTTAATTAATTTGGGCTTGCTCAAATTGGCGGGTTACTGCTTCACAATATCCCAGTGATTTCCTTAGTTTGGTTTAGAGTCGGGGAGAGAGTGTGTGTGGAGACAGGCCTTGGAATTGTTGTCACAGTTCAGAATAGGGTGATGCCCCCTCCTAAGGGGTGGAGGAGAGCCAGAGCTACGTGTTGGGAAGGGAGAGATAGCAGCAAAGGGATTCCCAGCTGCCTCCCACCCTCCCGACGCTCCCCCCAGTTCAATTCTTCTTCTCTCACCGCGCAGCTAGGGAGTCCAGCATTGTGACTTTGGCCTCAGTTCCTTTTTTTTTTTTTAAGATTTAATTTATTTTTATTGCAAAGTCAGATACATGAGCGGAGGACAGACAGAGGAAGATCTTCCGTCCGATGACTCATTCCCCAAGTGACCACAACAGCTGGTGCTGTGCCGATCCAAAGCCAGGAGACCAGAATCTTTTCCATGTCTCCCACATGGGTGCAGGATCCCAAAAGCCTTGGGCCGTCACTGCCTTCCCAGGCCACAAAGCAGGGAGTTGGAAGGGAAGTGGAGCTGTCGGGATTAGAACTGGCAGCCATATGGGATCCTGGCGCATTTAAGGTGAGGACCTTAGCCACTAGGTCACCACGCCAGGCCCGGCCTCAGTTCTTTTACCCCCATCTTTGAGCCCACCGGGGCTTGAATTATGTATCCAGGGGGCCCAGCGCCAATCCTGGCACCACACAGGGAGGCAGTCGTGCCCATGGTACAGAGGAACCCTGAGGCGCCAAGAAACTTCTCCCGCGAGGTGGGTCGGGCCTTGGGGGCCGTGCCTGGCCCAGCGCTCCGCCTTGGCTCGGCTGCTGGGCGTCTCTGCCATCCGGAAGGCGAGGTGGCGATGGCAGCCTCGCCATCGTTTCCCGGACCCGTGCCTTTGCCGGCCAGTCACGTGCCTTCCCTCTCAGCACTCCCTCGTCAAGGTCCCAGGGACTTGCATCCGAAAAAGGCAATGTCATTTTTTCACTAGTATTTTTTCCTAGCTTCCCCGAACTAGCAATTCTTTGGGAACCCGCTCCTTCCAATCCCTTCGGGAGATTCATTCTAGAACCTATCGTTGGACCGGGCGGGCGGTTGGGTGTCTGAGACCCTCCCAGCTCTGACCCGTGGGCGCCCAGAGGTAGGTACCTATGGGCGCGCTCGACCCGTTTTGATGCCGCTCAGTAGCACCACTCCCTCTAGAGGGACGCGGGCCCGGGGAGCCCAAAGCTCCCGCAGCCCCGCAGCCCCGCAGCCCCGCAGCCCCGCAGCCCCGCAGCCCCGCAGCCCCGTAGCGGCCTCCAGACTCCCGGATCCGTGTCCTCGGCGCTCGCTCAGGTTTCCTCTCCTGGCATAGGGAGGACAGGGACATCCCTTGGCGGCCGCGGCTTCCGTCGGCGCAGAGTGCCTGGGTCCAGCTTGATCAGCAGCCCCTTCTCCGCAGCCAGAGCCCCCCTCAGCCAGAGCCCCTTCAGCCGGAGCCCCCCTCAACCGGAGCCCCCTTCAGCCAGAGCCCCCTCATCCAGAACCCCCTTCAGCCAGAGCCCCTTCAGCCGGAGCACCCTCAGCCGGAGCACCCTCAGCCAGAGCCCCCCCTCAGCCGGAGCCCCTTCAGCCGGAGCCCCCCTCAGCCGGAGCCCCCCTCAGCCGGAGCCCCCCTCAGCCAGAGCCCCCCTCAGCCAGAGCCCCCCCTCAGCCGGAGCCCCCCTCAGCCAGAGCCCCCTCAGCCAGAGCCCCCCTCAGCCAGAGCCCCCCTCAGCCAGAGTCCCCTCAGCCGGAGCCCCCCTCAGCCGGAGCCCCCCTCAGCCGCGCTCCAGGCCCCGTGCCACCGGAGCAGTCCCCCAGCGTCCCCCCACCCCTTCCCAGGTCTCTTCCTGACGCGGGAGTCGTGCCCCGTGGGGTGGGGGGAGCGGCGTCTAACAGCCATATTGGTGAAAGCTGCGTTTCGACCGGGCCGCAGGCGTGGGCACGCGCAGCAGGCGGGATGGAGCCCCGGCGCGGGCCGCAGGGAGGCAGCCGTCTGCCCTCGCCGGGCTGGGGCTGTGGCCTGGGGCAGACCGCCCAGGGCCTGCCTGCTCGACGGACGAGGCAAAGAAGTAACGCCCCCGAACGCCCCCCGAGGAGGTTCCCAAGCAACTGTGAGCGTCCCCCGGGATGGGCGCGAATGAATGGTGTCTGCCGAGGTATCCCCAGGGTTAGCTCGGGGAGGCCTGGCCGGGACAGAGCTCGGACTCCACCTGCCTGCTTGGCCATGACCCGGGCACCCCGTTGCTGGGGCGTGGCGACCCCCGCTCCGACGTCTGCCGAGAGCAGGGAGCCGAGGTTCTCCCCCCGCGAGGACGCTCTGCGCCGGCCTTCCTCCCGGCTTTGCAGCGTCAGGGGCAGGTGGAGCGTGCAGGCCCCGTTAAGGCCAGCATGGGCGGGAGAAACGCGACCTCCTTCCTTCCAAGGCCGCAGTCCTCCCTCTCCAGCTCGGCCTCGGGGGTCCCGGGCGTGAAGGCTATGAATCCGCGTGCACGAAATGATCCCTCGCCGCCCCAAGCTGCCCAGAGCCCTGGGGCGGCCACTGCGCAAATGGTTCACAGCAAGGTTTACCCTCAACCCTGGAAGGACGGCGCTGCCCTGGAGCTGGGGCCCTGCGGCCTGGGCTGGTGGTGTGGGGAGAAACGCTGTGGCCTGGCAGGCCCAGCTGCTTGGGCCAGCTGGGAGCCTCACGACGCCTGGTCTGGTGTCTCTCAACCCACATTGGTTGCTCCTGGGATATCTCCTCTTTTTTTCTTCCTCCTCTTCTTTTATT